CAGAGGGAACAAGAGGAGGACAAGACAGAGACCAAGACAGCAGTCGAGAAGGGAATCATGGCGTGAAAGAGAGCAAGAGTTTCGAGCCAGAGGACCTCCCGCACAACAACNATAGTGGACTATAGAAACATTTTGTGTTTCCCGCCGCACTGAGACTGACGTCTTTTCATTGGTCAGCCGGTTAGCGCGGTCGATGCTAATAATAAAAGCACACACACACATGGACATCAATTTGAGAACAGTAATTAATTCAGGGGTCGGGCTGACAGGCGGTGTTATTCAACGTGCGCAGAACCCAGGCGGGGAAACAAAAAGGACCCATCTAAAACAGTTTTTTTGCGATAAAAAAAACTCCGCTATCGCTCCGTTTTTTTTTTCGCACGAGCGCTTCGCGCGCGGAAAAACCCCCAAAAAAAAAAAAAACACGCCAGGAACTGCACTACAACAAAACAAATACCCACTACTGCTACAGCTGTATGTAACCCCGCCCTCGCCACGTCGCGAAAAATTCTCTTGTGTCTGCCTGGCGCATCATCAACTTGAGAATCTCAACCTTCGTGTTGTTGTCCGGCCGCGCACGAGAACCAGATCCCTTCATACTCCGCGCCTTTGTTTTCTTCCGGCGTGCGTTTAGATGGATGGTCCCGCCCCAGCAGCCCCAGCTGGTGTCGCTTTGCGCTTGCCAGCCTTGTCGACGCACTTGCTGCAGATGAGGTGCTTTTCGTCGTCCTCAAACATGCTGCCGCAATTGCTGTGGAGCCGCCCGCCACACCCTCCCTTGAAGACGGGGCCATGGAGGCTTGCGGCGTTCTGCTTGTTGATGGCGGCACACTTCACCGTCCGCACAAGGCATGTTGCGTCCCTGCGTGAGCTGTCGGGTCTGCAGCAGAACGTGTACCCTGGTTTCTGTGTAGCGTCTGTCCGCTGCCTTATCCGTGTGTGTGTTTTTTTACTAGCATCGACCTCGCTAACCGGCTGACCAATGGTCAGTCTTAGTGCGATTGAAAAATAAAACACTTCTAGACTAGTCTAAATGTCACTAACATGGACGCCATGAGGGGGCGGCTTAGGGGAGCTACAGAAGATTTTCACGTACGTGTCGATGAAGGTGCTACCTTGCACTCTAGTTCGGTTTGGAGTGTCACCACCATCCTCCTTCCTTCCAACTCCATCGTTCTCACTATCGTTTGTGTGTGTGTCCAACCTGCACTATTGCGGGCACCGCGGTGCCCANCGACCTCGCTAACCGGCTGACCAATGGTCAGTCTTAGTGCGATTGAAAAATAAAACACTTCTAGACTAGTCTAAATGTCACTAACATGGACGCCATGAGGGGGCGGCTTAGGGGAGCTACAGAAGATTTTCACGTACGTGTCGATGAAGGTGCTACCTTGCACTCTAGTTCGGTTTGGAGTGTCACCACCATCCTCCTTCCTTCCAACTCCATCGTTCTCACTATCGTTTGTGTGTGTGTCCAACCTGCACTATTGCGGGCACCGCGGTGCCCAACCTGCACTATTGAGGGCGCTGTCTGTGTCCAGAGATTTCACCTGCACTATACCAGGCACCTGCACTATTCAACCTGCACTATAGAGGGCTCAGTACTGTACATACAGCAGTACATACAGCAGCAGTGGGTAGCGCAGACCGCCGCTGCCGCGGCCGGCTATGTAGGGCGCGGGGGGGCGCGCCAAAATATCCAATCTCTACCAAAAAATGGCATGCATAGCCAGGTAGATAGGTTGGTAGGTAGTGGTGGGAGCAGCAGCAGTGGGACGTTTCTTATTGGACACGCTTCCCCAGCTGCCCCTTGTTTCTTGTGTCTCTGGGTGTCGCACGATCATGTTTCTCATTGGGAAGTTTCTTAGGTTGTGGCCCAGATTGAGCTGAGCTAAGTTTGCCCTTTTTTTCTCTTGTTTTTCGTAAACATTTATTTTAGCTTTTCTTCTTTAACCGATTTTTTCTTAACCCCTTTGGTTCTAGCTCTTTGTTTTTTCGGCAAAAAAAATAATTGGGAGGAGAGGATGCGGGAGGGAGAGACAGAAGTTGCAGAAAGAGACGTGTGTACTCATGTAGACGGAACAGCTATCTCCACCCATAGGCCATGAGGGTTGCCCGCGACAGGACGATGGGCACATACAGGGTCACGGAAGGGTAGCGGTGCGGCCGGTAGGGCAGGTTAGGCTTGTAGACCTCGAAAAGGTTCAGTCGTAGAGCAGCCTAAACTAGTCTATTTTCAGTATATTCAAATGATCAGTGAAAATGATCAGTGAGAGGGCTTGTAGACCCATAGATGGTCCTTGTACTTATGTACTTCTCTGTCCCCTCCCCAATATGAGCCCTGCCGGCTCACTACAGCTCCTGTGATTTTCCCACATTTCCCACAAGCACGCAGGCACACCACAGCACACACCTATACTGTACCTTTGCATCAGTGGCTCTCTAGATTCGGGCGAGGGTATGTGTAGGACTATGATGATAGTGTATATGATACCACTGTATGTTGGACCCGTCTATACTGCTGCTGCTGTATGGAATAGCTGCTGACACGATGACTGCTGGATCTTGGGGAGCGTACGATTTTCAAATTTGGAGGATATGCAGCATGCAGTCGAGGGACCTTTATAGTGCCAGGTGCCCGGTTTAGTGCCGGTAAAATCTCCGGACACAGGCGCCCTCAATAGTGCCATACCGGCGCTATTGTGAGCATGCCCGGTATAGTGCCGGGTGGGCGCCACTGTCACCCTCAATGGTGCCGGTTCATCCCCCCGCGCGCACACACACAGCAGCGGCCTCGTCACGACCCTCACGGGCGGGCAGGCTAAGAGCACATAGATGGCACCATCTATCACACAGCCTACATCTGGCAAACAGTGCCTTCGACCCTTCGACGGCGGTGGTATCTCCTTCTCTCACGGAATCACAAATCTTTGTTTGGACAACGGGTGGGCACAACCTGGATTTCCTGCTACTACTACACAGTACAGTGCTACTGCGGCGGCTGCGGATACTGGATTCCTGGACGTGTTCACCTGAAGGAAAGCCAAGAGAACCTGCGAGCAGCTGCGAGCAGGACTTGACTCCCTAGTGACTTCCTAGTGACTTCCTAGGTTCGGACGAGGGATGTGTGGAGCTATAACAGTGTATGCATATGTGTTTCTATTTTGTTTGAGTCTTTTAGCTGCTGACACGATGACTGCTGGATCTTGGAAGTGTTGGACTATCAAATAGGGAGAAGCAGCATAACACGATATCCTGGCTTCGGCTGGTCTTGCAGTAACCCTTTTGCTGTCCTCCGCTCTTTGCATCAGTGGCTTCCTAGGTTCGGGCGAGGGCATGTGTGGAGCTATGGCAAGTGTATGTGTTGCTACTTTGTTTGAGTCTTTTAGCTGCTGACACGATGACTGTTGGATCTTGGGAGTGTACGACTATCAAATTGGGAGATGCAGCATACCACGGTATCCTGGCTTCGGCTGGTCTTGCAGTAACCCTTTTGCTGTCCTCCGCTCTTTGCATCAGTGGCTTCCTAGGTTCGTGCGAGGGCATGTGTGGAGCTATGGCAAGTGTATGTGTTGCTACTTTGTTTGAGTCTTTTAGCTGCTGACACGATGACTGTTGGATCTTGGGAGTGTACGACTATCAAATTGGGAGATGCAACATACCACGGTATCCTGGCTTCGGCTGGGCTTCCAATAACCGTTTTGCTGTCCTCCGCTCTTTGCATCAGTGGCTTCCTAGGTTCGGGCGAGGGCATGTGTGGAGCTATGGCCGTGTATGTGTTGCTATTTTGTTTGAGTCACCTAATAGCTGCTGACACGATGACTGTTGGATCTGGGGAGTGTACGACTATCAAATTGGGAGATGCAAACCACGATATCCTGGCTTCGGCTGGGCTTGAAATAACCCTTTGCTGTCCTCCGCTCTTTGCATCAGTGGCTTCCTAGGTTCGGACGAGGGCATGTGTGGAGCTATGGCCGTGTATGTGTTGCTATTTTGTTTGAGTAATCTAGCTGCTGACACGATGACTGTTGGATCTTGGGAGTGTACGACTATCAAATTCGGAGATGCAGCACACCACGATATCCTGGCTTCGGCTGGGCTTGAAATAACCGTTTTGCTGTCCTCCGCTCTTTGCATCAGTGGCTTCCTAGGTTCGTGCGAGGGCATGTGTGGAGCTATGGTATGTGTTGCTATGTTGCTTGAGTCATGTAGCTGCCGACACTTGAGAGTGCACGATTATATAATTGGGAGATGAGATGTGTGTCTACGAGAAAGAAAATGTAGAGAGAGTCGAATTGGCATTCGCATCAAGCGCATTGCGCATTTTTCGAACTTTGGCCCCCTTCCAGGGACCTTGATTTTTACCCGCTGGCACTGACGTCTTTTCATTGGTCAGCCGGTTAGCGCGGTCGATGCTAATAATAAAAAAACACACACACAGACAACCAGGCAGAGGGCAGACTCTAGACAGAGGAGTAGGGTACAGGTTCTGCTGCAGACCAGAACAGCTCTACGCAGGGGCGGACCATGCCATGTGCGGAAGGTGAGCTGTGCGCTCAACAGGATAAGACGCCGCAGGCCCCACACGGCTACCCTTGCAAGGGAGGATGTGGCGGGCGGCTCCACGGCAATTGCGGCAGCATGTTTGGCGACAAGGAACAGCACCGCATCTGCAGTGCGTGCGTCGCCAAGGACGGCAAGCGCAAGGCGCCAGCAGCTGACACCGGTGGAAGGGGACAATCTAAACGCCCGAAGGTCACGAATGGGGGGAGTAAGAAGTCTCAGCCTTCTCGTAAGGGGCGTCGTGCGCGGCCGGATTTGGACGCCAAGCTTGAGATGCTGAAGCTCATGGATGCCAAGGTCACTCATGAGCAGATAGCGGACCGCTTCGCGTGCTCGGTACGGCTGGTCCGGGATGTGAAGAAAGACCGGCAGAAGTACGAGGCCAAGGCTTCTGCAGGAGGCGGAGGAAGCAAGAAAAGCCTACGTAGAGGCGACTTTCCGGAGTTGCGCTAGTCTACACGCTGCTGCTGCTGTACATAAAAAATTTCTTCTGTTGTTCGCGGCCGGGCCTTTTTTTGTTGCCGGGCCTTTTTTTTTCGACACTTTTTTGTTCTGACCCTTGTTTTTTTCGTTCAAGTTTTTCCCCCCTACAGCAATATTGTCGTTTTCTTTTTCTCTCCCTTTTATCTTTTCCTTTGTCTTTTCCTCTCGTTTTTTCTGAACATGAGCTCATTCCCTTTTGTCTTTTCGTTTTTTTTTCCCTTTGTCTTTTTTTCCCCAACAAGAGCTCGTTCCTTTTTGTCTTTCCCTTCTCTTTTCGTCTTCGCGTCTTTCCTGTTTTGTTTTTTTCTGCTCAACTTGTTGAGCTTGTTCCCTGTGTTGTCTGTCCCTGTTTTCTTTGCCTTGGTCTTTGTTTGTTTATCTTCTTTTACGCAACTACCAGGCAGCGTTGTTTCGTTTCGTGTACTGCTGCGCCAGAACAAACCGCGAACCAAAAAAACAATACATTGCACGCACACTTTTTCGTGCAAGCGAGTATAGAACATACATACACACGTGCAGCGGCGCGCTTCTGTGGTTTTTCTTGCCTGCAAAATTTTCCTTCCAACTACTGCTGTGCAATGATGCCAATGTTCGAAACTAATCGTTCGATCTTTGGTAACCTCTATCTTTGTTATTCCTCGTTTGACGGTGAAGGTGGAAGCCATAGCCCTCGACCTTCTCGAGAAAGCCCGGAAGGCCAAGATGCCCGTCACACGCGAAGTCCTTCGAAGCTTGGGCCGTTTCCCGAGGGCAACCCTGCTGGGAGATCCCGCAGCTTCTAAGGAGGTGAAGGCGAGGGTCCAGGATTACAAGGCCGGTGAACGGTGGGCCCGAAACTGTCGTGAAGCGCAACAACATCCAGAGCGCGCGACTTCATGGCGAGGCTGGTAGCGTCGACAAGGAGGCCATCGAGGCGGCCATGGAGGAACTCAGGGCCCTTTGCGCGAAGTATCCGGCTAGGTTCATCTTCAACGTCGACGAAACAGGCCTCCATTGGAAGCTCATGCGCAGGCGCACGTACCTTTCCACCTTCGAGGAGCGGAAGACGGCGCGGGGCTCCAGGGCATGTTCTTCAAGGATCGACTGTCTGCCATCATGTCCGCCAATGCCGACGGTACTGCGAAGGTCCCAATGGCCATCATCGGGAAGGCGAAGGAACCCCGCTGCTTCAAGGACACGCCTTCGCCTCTGAAGTACTTCTCGCAGGCCAACGCGTGGTCCGACACCGACACCTTCCTCAAGTGGTGGCGTGACGTCTTCCTCCCGTTCGTTCGGCGCTTCACTCACGAACCTGTGCTGCTGCTGATGGATGGCTGTTCGTCTCACGGTGATCTAGTGGATGATCGGGGGCAAGTTACCTCCAAGTTCTACCCTCCGCTGTGCACCTCCGTACACCAGCCCATAGGCATGGGGATCATAGCCAAGACGAAGTGCAACTACAGGAAGGAGCTGCTCGACGTGAAGGTATCAACCATGTTGGTGGCTGACACCCTTCGTGCCGAGGCCAAAGCCCGCAACATGAAGGCCGGGACGATGGGGCTGACGGAAGGGCACCAACCTCACGTGCGGGATGCCGCTGAACTCCTCGAGAAAACATGGGCCAACGTCACGGCCCAGGACATCGCCAGGTGAGGTTTGAACATGTGCTATCGCTGTTGTAAATTTGGATGTCCAACTCGCGCATTGGTGCACATAGCTTTGGTGGTACGTTACGTGGGTAGGGTTGTGTACGTATAGATCATATAATTTCGACGGAGTATTCCACATCCTGGTATCCCCGTTGTCTCTTCGCTTAAAAAAGGTTACGCCGCTCGCATGCCGATGAGTCATTGATCGTCACTGGGTTCGTCTAACACCCGTTTGTCCAAAAACGAATGCATTACATTTTCTGCGCCACCTGGGACCAGGTGCTTTGTCAAAGCCAACACGCTTCCGGAGGAGATGGCGGCTGAGCTCACCAATTAACATGGAAAGGCCCGGTTCCAGACCGCCGAGCCTGACTTGAAGGCTCTCACGGAGACTGTCAACAAGTTGAGCACGAGCGTGCACGAGGCGCAGCAGCAGGGATCCCGAATCGAAGACGAGGACATCGCCGAACTGTTGGCAGAACTCCGCATCGAACCCGGAAAGCGGATCGAGGAGGAAGCGGTGAACGCGATTCAGGGGTGGGCTACTATCGAGGACGATGATGAAGTCGTTGAGGCTATCAAGCTGGATACGGTGGACGACATGACGGCACAGCTGAATGGGGTGCATGTGTCTGCCGGCCGCGAGGAGGAGGACGAACAGGAGGAGGACAGGGGCGATGAGGACACGGGGCGTGTGCGCCGTGCCCCACCGGCGTATGGTGAACTGTCGTCTTACTTCGGCGTCCTGGAAGCGGCAGCAGAGGAGAGTGGCAACGGAGTAGCGGCGCTCTATCTAGCGAAAGCGAAGATGGCGATGATAGTAGCGCATTCCGCTACGCGGGTGCGCCAGGTGGACATGAGAGAATTTGTCGCGACGCAGCGAGGATGCGGGTACAGCTGTAGCAGTGGTTGTTTTCTTGCCGTGCGCTGCCTGTTTTTTTTTTGTATTGTTTTTTGTTGCAACATCGAAGGGGGTGCGCCAGGCAGTCAAGAGAGAATTTGTCGCGACGCAGCAAGGGCGGGGGTTACAGCTGTAGTTGTGTGCTTTTTTTGTTTTTTTTTTGGTGCGCTTATAAATTGTTTTGTTTCTTGATTTTCATTTTTCAACATCGAAGGAGGGCAACAAAGGGTGAAACTTAGCTTTGTACGAACGAGAGCTTTTCAAGCAGTTTGTGCCGGTCACAGCCTTCTCGAGTGCATGATGTGTGTTTCCCTTTCGCCGTCGACTAGTCTTGGTGAGGCACTGCTGTAGCCCGAAATGCAACGATCTTATTTTACAAAAATCTTGTGGACTCGACAGGGTGAAACCGCAACTGTCGCGGGAAAGAAAGTCTGCCCAGGCCTACACTAGAACTTCACATTACAGCAGTGTCGATCCATTTCGTACTACCGTACTGACTTGGCCCCGCAAGCGTGAGCGCTACACCATAAATCGCACACGTTCTCATTAGTGCCAGACCGGCACTAATGAGGGATTGGCAAGCCCTCAATAGTGCCGTTTTGGCATTATTCGCAATAGTGCCGGGTGCCCGGTTAAGTGCCGGTGAAATCTCTCGACACATACCGGCACTATAAAGGTCCCTCGACTGTACATACCACGATCACATCCTGGACTGCTTGGGCTTTTGAAGTGCCCCCATTCGCTGTCATCCTGTCTTTCCTCGAGCGTGTTCCTAGATTCGGGCGAGAACATGTGTGTGGAGCTTTTGATGTGTGCCTCTGTGAAAGGATATGGGGAGAGATTCATGGTGGCATTTGCATTTAGAGCAGTGCAAATTTTTCGAATTTTGGCCGTTCCAGGGACCTGATATTTACCCGCTGGCACTGCTGTGACGTCTTTGCATTGGTCACCGAGTAGCGCGGTCGATGCGAAAAATAAAGACACACCTACCTATTGACTTGCCAACACCTGGCGTGGAATCCCTCCAGGGCAACGACTCCATGGCATGCCACGACACCATCATTTGCAAGTGAATCGATGATCAGTCAGGACGCCTGTAGACCCAAAAGGGTTCATTGTGGGCCCGTTCTGTATTTCTTTGTCTGGCGATGAGGATTACCGCCCCCCCCCCAACTGCGTGCTCAAGGAACACTTGTTTGACGTGGTAGAAGTAGTGGTGAAAACGGAGTTCGAGGAAAGCCTATGGCTTAAGATACCTGGGGAGCGGGGTGAGAAAGATTTGTTTCTAGGGAACGTATACGTCTCACCGTCGTNTTGTTTCTAGGGAACGTATACGTCCCACCGTCGTCGAAGAAAGTCGCAAGCAAGGCGCAGGAGAACTTTGGACATATTGGGGAAGATGTCCAGAGGTTCAGTAGGAAGGGAGAAGTTGCGATAGTGGGCGATTTCAACTCCAGAGTAGGGAAAGCTTCCAGTAGAGGACAGGCGATCGGGC